GGAGCTCAGGGGAGACAGGTGAGCGAGTTCGGCCGGGACCGGGAGGGCGGGAGCTGCCTTCTGGCACTGTCCGCACTCTTCGATCTCCCGCTCCGGCCAGACCTGTCGTAGAAGGGCTGCAGCGCGTTCCTGAGGCCTGGCGCCCAGGACTACCGGGGGCGGGGGGGGGGGCGCGCCGGCCCGCTCCGCGCTCGCTGGCGTCCGCCGGCCCGCCAGGCTCGGAGCTCAGGGGAGACAGGTGAGCGAGTTCGGCCGGGACCGGGAGGGCGGGAGCTGCCTTCTGGCACTGTCCGCACTCTTCGATCTCCCGCTCCGGCCAGACCTGTCGTAGAAGGGCTGCAGCGCGTTCCTGAGGCCTGGCGCCCAGGACTACCGGGGGCGGGGGGGGGGCTCTCCCGATCCCCAGAATGGTCAGCGCGCTCGCGCTCTCCTCCTTTCTTCCCCAGGCACCTGACACGCCCCGACACCCAAATCTGGAGGAGTCCCAGTCCTCACTGCCAGTTTGCCGAACTCCTGAACACTTAGTTGCTGGGAAAAACCATCCTGGCAGGGTTGCGTCCCCTGTGTTGAAGTGCATTGCCTTAACTCTAACAGCCCCTCAGCAACAACCTAATGGCTCAGAGGCCAAATCCCTCTTGCGGTGACTCCAGGCCACTAGCTCTACCAGAGGGAAGGTCTGGGTGGATGAGGAAGGGTCACGAGTAGATGATGCCTTCTCCCTTAAGTGGTTAACTCCACCCTGCCGCCTGCGTTTTTCCTCTCCATTGATTTCTGTTCCCCTACTCTGATTTTCCAGCCTCCCTCTTCATCAGTTGGACACAAAGCTGTACCAAGACCCCCGGGGTAAGTGACCCAAAGTCTAAGCCAGCAGGGGCCACATAGATGGGGACTCGGGTCCAAAGACTGGTCAGAACCCAGGGATGGGATCTCGGGGACACTCCTGGACTTGAGGCACCTAGCAAGCCCTGATGCAGAACCTGTTGTGTACACCTTGTCTACTCTCCCCAGTTCTAGGACATGATGATACTAGGGTGGTGACTGCACACTTGAGAAATGGAATAAGGCAGACTCCTCCTTGAACCCTGAAGTCCTCCATCCTTAGATACATGTTCACTAGCAAGTTTTAAGACTGGTGCAGCCAAGCCTGGCAGTATACACCTTCAGTCCCAATGCTGTGGAGGCAGAGGCAGGTAGATATCTGTCAAAGAGAGGCCAGCCTGGTCTACATAGCGAGTTCTAGGTCAGCCAGGGCTACATACTAAGACCCTGTCCCTCCCAAAACAAAAAGGCTCTGGTAGAGGGTGTATGCCAGAAGGCCGTGGACTCTAAGCAGGGGCTCTCAGATGTAGGGCAGGTATGAGAGCTCAAATTCGAACACTGGGATATCTGACAACAGGAGGTTGCCCTGGGGGACATCTGACTCATTCCTGCTCCCTTCCCATAACTTCTCTGGGAAAGGGGGATGTGCAGGTAGGCTAGGACATGTAGCCAGTGACCTAGTTTTGTCTCTCCATTGCTGTGAGAAAATACTGTGTCCACTACTAACTTGGGGAGGAAAGGGTTTATTTGGCTTACATCTCCCAGGTCACAGTTCATCAGGGAGCCCAACGTAGGAAGTCAGGGCAGGAACCTGGAGGCAGGAGGTGGAGCCTTGGAGGAACACTGCTTACTAGCTTGCTCCCCTGGCCCCTGCTCAGTCTGCTTTCTTATGCAATGCAGGCCTACCTGCCCAGGGGTGGCACCACCCCCAGTCGGCTGGGCCCTCCCACATCACTCAACAATCAAGAAGATGCCCCACAGACATGGCCACAGGCCGGTCCTGTGGAGGCAGTTCTCCAATTGAGGCTCCCTCAACCCAGGTGTGTTAAGTTGACACTAAAGCTATCCAGCACACACAGTAACAGTGATTCCAGCTACATATAAGTAGCAGACCTCACCCTCTGTAGTCTTTGGCCCAGTAGTCACCTACTGCCCATGTCACTTTGTCACCACTTGGTTCCTGGCAAATGACACTCAGACTTCCTCAACCTACTCTCTAAAGACCTGAATCTGACCCAAGCCAACGTTGCTATCAGTACCCCTTTTCTCATCTGACTGGTCTCTCGGAGGAAAGGGGTTTTTTTTGTTGTTTTGTTATTTATTTCTTTTTTTTTGCTTTGCTTTTGGCTTTGACACAGTATCAGATGGTCTGGTCTGGGACTAACATTGTATGGTAAGGACTCCTGATCCTCCTGCCTCCACCTCCCAGCCCCTCCAGGAAGCAAGTTAGGAGATTCCTTTCCCTCTGTGGTATCACTACCTCTTGAAGGCAGGGTGGAACAGGCTAGTGGGGACAGGACTAGAGGTTGCTCTCCTATGCAAGGTCACCACCAGAGTAGACAAGCTTGGGAAAATCAGCAGATACTGGCACACTGAATGGGAATTCCTATATGTATGTGACTCCTGGATGATGGACAAGAAGCTTGAGGCAGGTGTGCTGGAGGAAGAGACAGCTGAATGGCCTTCAAAGGTCTGCACTAGGTGTGGCCTTTCTAGCCTCAAGCTGGAGGTAAGGGGCTCTCTGAAAGTCTGGTGCTCCTGAGCTTGCAGCTGCTCCCCTTCACTGGCCACTCTCTGTGCCCCTTCTCTTTTCAGGGAAAGCTCTGCTATCAAGGAAGGCAACACAGGACCAGGACCTTCCCATGGACCCTTCTTGGGACATCCCAACAGTACCAGCAGGGGTGCTCCCATAAGCCACAGGGGGCTTGGGCATACTATTCTTCAGGAAGTGCCATGGTGGTCAGGAAGGAAAGAGATAGCTCCCAGCAGTGGCCTGGCCTGGGAAGACAGGGCAGTTGTACAGGTCCCCTTGGCATGTTGGGCACTGCCCTGCTGTTCATCAGCCTGCCATGGGGAACCCAAGCAATGGCCAGTGCCAACCTCAGCACTGCTCTGGGCCACACTGAACCACTGACAGGTGGCCACTACTTGAGCATTGGGGATGGCTCAGTGACAGAGTTTGAGTTCCCTGAAAAGAGTGAGGGTATCATCGTGATCTCAAGCCAGTACTCAGGACAGGCTAATGGGACAGGGCGCAGCCCCACACTGAAGGTCACATCCCTGGACACAGAGGTACTGACCATCAAGAATGTGAGTGCCATAACCTGGGGTAGTGAGGGCGGATTTGTGGTGAGCATCCACTCAGGCCTGGCTGGGCTAGCCCCACTCCACATCCAGCTCATGGACTTTCATGAGGTCCCACCCATGCTGATTGAAGAACAGAACGATTTCTGCATTAAGGTGTCACCTGCTGAAGACATCGCGGCCACCCTCAACCCCAACTTGGCCCACTTCTCGGAGAATCCAATACTCTACCTGCTCCTGCCACTTATCTTTGTCAACAAGTGTTCATTTGGGTGCAAAGTGGAACTTGATGTTCTGAAGGGACTCCTACAGAGCCCCCAGCCCATGCTTCTGGGCCTTTTGGGCCAGTTTCTGGTCATGCCCCTCTATGCTTTCCTGATGGCCAAAGTCTTCATGCTGCCCAAGGCCCTGGCTCTGGGCCTCATCATTACCTGTTCGTCACCTGGTGGTGGGGGGAGCTACCTCTTCAGCCTCCTTCTTGGAGGAGATGTCACCCTGGCCATCTCTATGACTTTCATCTCAACAGTAGCTGCCACTGGTTTCCTTCCACTCTCTTCAGCCATCTACAGCCACCTGCTCAGCATCCATGAAACACTCCATGTGCCCATCTCCAAGATCCTAGGGACCTTGCTGTTCATCGCCATCCCCATAGCAGCAGGTGTGGTGATCAAATCCAAGCTCCCCAAGTTCTCTGAGCTGCTATTGCAGGTCATCAAGCCCTTCAGCTTTGTGCTTCTCCTAGGTGGCTTGTTTCTGGCCTACCGTATGGGGGTCTTCATCCTAGTGGGGGTCAAGCTACCCATTATACTGGTGGGCTTCACAGTGCCCCTGGTTGGCCTCTTGGTTGGCTACTGCCTGGCCATGTGCCTGAAGCTGCCAGTGGCCCAGCGGCGAACAGTCAGCATTGAGGTAGGGGTGCAAAACAGTCTGCTAGCCTTAGCCATGCTACAGCTGTCTCTGCGCCGCCTCCAGGCAGACTATGCCTCCCAGGCCCCCTTCATTGTGGCACTGAGTGGTACCTCAGAGATGCTGGCTTTGGTCATTGGCCAGTTCATCTACAGCAGCCTGTTCCCTGTTCCATGAGGCACCCAGACCAAGTTTCATGACCCCAATCCCTATACTCCATCCACCGTTCCCACAGTTCTTGTGTGTACCAAAGGCCTTTAGTTCTCATGCACTATGCACTCAGACAAATCTAGGCTTATTTTTTTTACTTTTTTTAATTCTCCAGCTTTCAGTGCCAAAGAGGCCATGCTGAGTTAGATAAGTGGGTTCTACCCAGAAAATATATTTCAATAAAAGATAATAGCAAGCTTGGGTGTCTGCCAGTCTCTGTCCCTTAGGGCTTGGGGATGGGGATACGAAGAGTGTGCCTGGGTAGTATGTGTGGACTGGATGGCATGGTGACTACACCAAGGGGTGGGTCAGTCTCTCCTCTCCTCTCCTCCCCTCCCCTCCCCTTTTTGAGACAGGATCTTCCAGTAGCCCCAGCTGGCCAGGAAGTCACTATATAGACCAGGCTGGCCTTGATCTCACAAAGATTTGCCTGCCTCTGAGTGCTAGGACTAAAGGCATGCACCACCACGGCTGGCCGTATACATGCTTTTATGTCCATATGAGTGCAATAATTTTTTTTGGTCTTTTTTGAGACGGGGTCTCCCTGTAGCCCCAGCTGTCCTGGAACTCACTATGTAGACCAGGCTGGCCTTGAACTCGCAGGGATCCGCCTACCTCTGCTTCCCAAGTGCTGGGATTAAAGGTGTGTGCCACCATGCCCGGCATGTGCAATAATTTTAATTTTATAAAACGCACAATAAGGGGATAGAGAGATGGCTCTCTCTTTTGCACACAGTAGGCAATTTTTCTATCTGAGCTGTATTACCAGACCTGCACCCGCTTTTCTGTTATCAGCACAGCTCAAGAGAGGAGCAGGGCAAAGGCCTGGGTCTAGTACTTGCTTCCCAAGCTCGGGATGGGGGTGGGGGGGCATTTTTGCAACCACACTAGCAAGGAGGTAAAAAGCCAGCACGGCACGGCAGCGGGGCGGGACTGTTTTTGTCACTGGGGCACCCCCGTGTTGGTAATGACTTGGTTCCCAGAAGGGTGGGAATTAAGCTCTGCCGGGCCCTGCACGGGGTAAAGTGGCATCCTGGTCCCCTGGAAGCCAGATCCCCCAGATGAAGCAAGCTGGCCCACTTGGATCCTGGCGGGCGGGCTCTGACACGTCTCTGTGCGGAGCCATGGGGGCTCCTTCGGCCGGAGCACAGATTCCTGTCCGGGGGCCGGCGAGAGGGGCTGCGGGCAGAACGGAAGGGCTGCGGGCGGGGAACCACGGCGTCGAGCGCGCCCCTCTCGCGGCTTCCGGCGGCGGCGGGCGGTTCCGGCGCGCGCCCGGGGCGGCGGCGCGCGATAGAGTACGTTAGGGGTTGGCGTTGGCCCTAGTGGACGCCACCGCGGACACCATGCAGCTGACCGTGAAGGCGCTCCAGGGCCGGGAGTGCAGCCTGCAGGTAAGCCCCGTGCCCGCTGCCGCCGGCCGCGTGCTCCCCCGCTCCTGCCACAGGGGCAGAGCACTGGTACTGAGAACTGACCTCAGGAGGGAGGTGAGAGGGCTTCGTCGCCCAAGGGACTCGAACTGAGCCCCAGCCTCTCACCCTCGGCCCAATCAGGTGCCAGAGGACGAGCTGGTGTCCACGCTGAAGCTCCTGGTCTCAGATAAATTGAACGTCCCTGTGCGACAGCAGCGTCTGCTATTCAAGGGCAAGGCCCTAGCAGGTAACTAGGGAAAGGAGCCGCCCAGGGAGCCCTGTGGGACGTTGGGCGGTGGGGTGTGCAGGCCAGTGAAATGGATGAGGGTGCCGGCTGCCACTGGATCCTCGGGAAGGTGGCGGAGCCCCTTCCGTAGCCAGATGCCACAGTACTTTACTCTGGCTGCCGGCAACAGGATTGCTCCCCACCACTGCCACAGCTATGGGGAAGGAACCCACACATCTCTCTTTGGCAGATGAGAAACGACTATCAGATTACAACATTGGACCCAATTCTAAGATCAATTTAGTCGTTAAACCTCTGGAGAAGGTGTTACTGGAAGAAGGGGCTACCCAGAAACTGGTCGATTCCCCACCTCCACCCACCTGGCAGCTGATCTCCAAAGTCCTGGCCCGTCACTTCACTGTAGCAGATGCTAGCAGGGTCCTGGAACAACTTCAGAGGGTGAGAAGGGTAACCGTCTGCCTCCAGTCCTAGCTGCTCTCAACCCCTCCCCACTGGCACCCTCTGAATCTACCTGATCCTCTTTCCTCAGGATTATGACAGGTCCCTGAGCCGCTTGACACTGGATGACATCGAACGCCTGGCCAGCCGTTTCCTGAACCCTGAAGTGACTGAGGCTATGGAAAAGGGGTTCTCCAAATAACGCACTGGGATTATGGGAAGGAGTACCTGGCTAGGCCACAGCTGCATGTTGTATTAAATGTGTTCTCATGTTGCAGTTTGGCTCATAGTGATAATAATAGCTGGTATGTACCCGGCTCTTGCTAGGTGCTAGGCACTACTCGAAGTACTTGACCTGAGTTCTCTTCCACCTCCCCCAGAAGAGGCACCTAGCAATGGCATGGAACAGTCAGGATCTGAGTCCAGCCAGCCTGTAAAAGTGCCTCTGTAGGAGAAAGGCTGCTGTTTTGAGGGATGGGCCTTAGCATTCCCTCAGGAAGCAGCTAGTCCCTGTCACCTGACCTGTAGTGTGTCTGGCATCACCGTTGGCAAACCTCCTCAGAAGGCCAAATGGTAGTCATCCCCAGGCCCCTCTGCTGCTGCAGCCAGTGTGCTCTTGATGAAGGACAAGCAGGTTAGGGGTTGGAGGGTCATGAAGACACCTCGGCTCTGTCCTATAATGAGTCAAGTTTCTGTGCCATTAAGTCTGTATAGTGATGGCTGCTCCTTTGACCCAAATGAGTTCATTTTCCCCTTCCCCAGCTCAAGGTGGTAGTCTGCAGCCATTACCTACAGTTCCACCTTGTGTTCAGCAAGCAAACTAAAGCTAAAAGTGAAGTGATAGGCAAGCACAGGCCACAGATGGAGCATCTTGGGCCTTCGTAACATAGCTCTTCTTGTGAGTACCGTCTGCTTGGTTGCCCCTTCTGGAAGTGGGTCTCGCCCATAAGGGACAACAGGTGACTCAGCAAGGCAGTGTCACAGAACTCTGCCTTGGTCTCCTTACCCAGTGCCCACCCAGTATGGACATGTTTGCTTCCTCTGCCACCTGGGTACAGGGGCTTTTACTTTGCACACCTTCATTGCTTAAGAAACTCAGGGTGGGGAGGAGAGATAGATGTGGGCTGAGTGGCAGTGATTCCTCTTTCACTGTGCCTGTGCCTAGGTGCTAAAGGTCATATAAGTACTCGGTCCTTTGAGGAGTATCCCTGTGAGTAGTAGAGGCTGGAAGGGTGCCACCTGCAGGACACAACTCTTGCCCCTCCACTCTTGCCATGGAAGCCACTCAGTGTGGTCAGGGCTGCACCTGCCCCCCTGCCCAAGGGCCTCCTTTCTGGGCCTTGTAGGACAATACTGAGTGCCTGTGCTGGGAAGATGAACAGAAATGAAGCCTGAGGGGAAGAACAGGTGATAGCCCCTGGCCCTCTCTGAGAGCTGGGATACCATAGCAGGGACCTACTTGTGAGCATGTGTGAGAACTGGCAGCTCAGACAATAAGCTTATTAATGTTCTTGTTCATTTTGAGTCAGGGAATATATTCAGAAAATTAAATAACACTAAATGTGCACGTGAGACTTTTACCAAAAGGAACTCTACTAGCTAAGCTGCTTTTGGTTTCCAATAATTGGTTTAACAATACAGGAAACTTATTGACTTACAAAACTGAAAAACCCAGGACTACTGGCAGTGGATGAACAATTTCAGCAAACACCCAGCTTTTTTCCTGCCACCCTCTGAATTCTCCAGGATCTGCTTCATCCTCAGCCACCACCTCCAAGGATCAGAGGATGGCTGCCTGCTGCCACATTGGAACCCTTCATTCACTGCCAGCAAGGAGCACTTTCAGAATAGCATAGCTTCTGTCTCAGATGCCCCAGCAAATAAACACTGTCTCTTATTGGTCAGAACTGGCTCCTGCGTCCAGTCATTTGGGAGTGGGTGGGAGAAGGGGTTAATTGCCCATTAGTGCCTCCCCACGCAGTTTTAGGGGCTGATTCCTGGACACATGTAGGCTGTACCAGGAAGGAAAAGTAAATGTATGTCCGGAATGGTGGTAGCAAACAGCAGCTGTCCACTTCGGGAGACTTGTGTGCCAGAAAGCTCATGACCACCTTGGAGGCAGTAAAGGAGGAAGGCCTTGAAGGGATGAGGTGGAACATTCAGATAAGGAGTATTTTCTGAGGCTTGCATTCAAAGACATTTAAAATTTCTACAGGAGCTGAGCATGGTGGCACATGCCTTTAATCCCAGTAGTGGTGAGGCAGAGGCAGGCAGATCTCTGTGAGATCAAGGCCAGCCTGCTCTATATAGTGAGTTCCAGGCCAGCTGGGGCTACAGGGAGACACTATCTCAATAAAACAAAAGAAAAACACAAGCGTGAGAGTTCTGAGAAGGGCCAAATGTTATTTGATTGCCTTGAAAGGCTAGGAACATCATTTGAAGGCGGCTGAATATGAGAAGTCAGGGACTCAGGATGTGGAGATGAGAAGTGGTGATGAAAAAGCTGATTCAGAAGAGCAAGAAGAGGGTTCCTAGCCAGATGTGGTGGCACACGCCTTTAATCCTAGCATTCAGGAAGCAGAGGCAGGCACATCTCTATGAGATCGAGGCCAGCCTAGTCTACATAGCGAGTGCCAGGCCAGCTGGGGATACAGGGAGACCCTGTCTCAAAAAAGTCCAAAAAAAGGAAGGTTCCTTTTGTTGGTCAACTACTCAGTTGTCCTGAACCCTTTTGTATGTAGTTTTATCATTTCAACCTCACCTGATCGCCAAATGCTGGTAAATGGATGAACCATGACTTGAACCGAGACCTGGCTTTATCCCTGAGCCCATGTAACCATGCTACTGTGCCCAAGAGTGCTCTGTGGGACAGGACATTGTAGAGACTGGGAGGATGGATGAGGTGGCTACCCAGGGTTGAAAAGGAGAGGCCTGAGCCTCAAGCCAGCTTCAAAGGCTAGAGAGTAGGTAAGAGGGACCTGGAGGCAGAGGCACTAGCAGGTGGTTGCCCCAGGTTGAGTCAAGAGCAGGCCTTTAGAAGGGAAAGGCCATCACTGCTGTCTTGACATGAAGCAGGGACAAGATGGAGCCTTTCCCTTGTAAAGTGGAGGTTATTGCACTCTATGGTGGGCTGAGGAATCCTCAGGGACCTCTCATTCTATAAGATGTGTGCAAGTGTATAGAGACAGCGTTTGTTGCTGCTTTGGTATCATTGGTAGGGTTAAGTCTTGGGGAGCTTCATCAAGGAAACAATGGGTAAGTAACGGGAGAGACAATGAGAGGTACCAAATGTTGCAGGGATGACGGAGGGAATGGGGCATGAGAGGAGGCTGGAGACTTGTGAAAATGGAGTGGCCACAAGATGCAGACCTTAACTTTGCTCTGAGTCTAGTGTGCCCCCCATACAACTGTAGGCCCCAAACTCTAAGGTCCTTCATCAGAGTGTTGGGCTGTTTACCATAGGCACTATGCCCCCCCGGCAAGTGTCCACCCCAAGAAATGGCACCAATTCATTCACTGCTCTGCCCAGTACAAGGCCCTGAGACCCTCTGCCTGACTCTTAGAGAGGGGCTTTTGGAGAGTCCCCAGCCCCTAGGGATGTGGTGTGATCACAATCACTCCAGGAGATGGCAGCCTGACTGAAGGGCCCACCTGAAGTGGCTTCTCCAAGACAGATGTGGTCTGGCAGCTGCAATGAGATGTTTGGGGGTGCATACAAGGACATTTATGGAGGAGATCATTGAGTTGGATATCTCCAGGGAATAAATAATTAATGAGGGGTGTTTTTCACATCTATGGGGGCATGACAAAGTGACACAGGAGCCACCTCGAAGGAATTAAAGTTAGAACAATTTGAGCATCCTCCCAACTGAGTCTTTTGGAAAAGAGTCACAAAGGTTCATATCCTTCCCTCATGGCCTTCTCCCTGCCATGACATCCTTTTTCTGGCACCACAAAATGGTCTAAACCCATCTTGCATATTTTCCTGCCCTAGACTAAGGATCAGCCTTTTAATGGAGAATGGTATTTATTGAAGGGTATTTAGAAATCAAGATCTGTGTGAAGGATGTGCTCACTGTTACTGGGGTATCACTGCTTCTAGACACCTTTAATAGACCAACTTTGGAAATATAAAAACACATATTAAGAAACTACAAATTCATGCTGAAACCTTCAACTACAATCCCATGTCACAGTTTCTTCACACCTTCCCTCATTCCACAGTTAGAATTCTGGTTTCTGACAACATTGATATATTTACTCGTTTGCTCTACCTTAACATGCTCAAAATAGCTTCACACTCACCTCATCCCAACCATTAACAACAAATATGCTAAAAGGAAAGCAAATTATTTTTGCCCTTAGAATATATTCCACAAAGGGAGTACAGTAACAGTTAAAAGGCACTAAATCAGCTGGTCATGGTAGTGCATACTTGTAGCCCAAGTTGTACTCAGGTGAATGGGGGGGGTCACTTCAGTCCAGTACATAGAGACCAATTTGGACAACACAATGAGACCTTCTCAAAAACAAAAACAATGCCCAGGTGCGGTGGCCCACACCTTTAATCCCAGCACTCTGGAGGCAGAGACAAGTGGATCTCTGTGAGTTTGAGGCCAATGTGGTCTATATAGTGAGTTCCAAGCCAGCCAGTGTTACATAGTGAGGCCTTATCTTTTTTAAAAAATATTTTACATGTATGAATATATTGCTTGCATGTATGTAAATGTACCCATGTCATGCAATACCCATGGAGGTCATAAGAGGGTGTTGGATCCCCTGGAACTGGAGTTATGGTTGTTAGCCTCCATGTGGGTGCTAGAAATTGAACCCAGGTCCTCTGCAAGAGCAATCAGTGCTCTTAAGTGCTGAGCCATCTCTGCAGCCTCAGTGAGGCCTTATCTTAAAAATAAAGGCCGGGTGTGGTGGTGCATGCCTTTAGTCCCAGCACTCGGGAGGCAGAGGCAGGCAGATCTCTGGGAGTTCAAGGCCAGCCTGGTCTACATAGTGAGTTCCAGGACAGCTGAGGCTACAGGGAGACCCTGTCTCAAAAAGACCAAACAATAAAATAAATTAAATAAATAAAATAAAATAAATAAATCTGGCAAGACAGCCCAGCAAGTAAAAGCATTTTCTGCACAAGTATGACGACTCTGGAACACACAGTGGAAGGGGAAAACTGATTTCCAAACGTTGTCTTCTGATTGCCACACAAATAATATAAAGATACTGATTTACGGTGGGGCGTGGTGGCACATGCCTTTAGTTCCAGCACTCAGGAGGCAGAGGCAGGCGGATCTCTGAGTTCAAGGCCAGCCTGGTCTACCTAGTGAGTTCCAGGACAGCTGGGGCTACAGGGAAACCCTGTCTCAAAAAGACCAAAAAAAAAAAAAAAAAAAGAAGACACTGACTTATCTTGGGGCTGGAGAGATGGCTCAGCAGTTAAGAGCACTGGTTGCTCTTGCAGAGGACCCAGGTTCGATTCCCAGTAAACACATGACTGTTCATGACTCCAGTTCGAGGGTATCTTCTGACCTCCTCAGACATTGCACATGTGTGCACTTACACACAAGCAGACAATACACTCATACACAAAAAATAAAAATATTTTTAAAAGACCCTGACTTATCTTTTGTGTGCAATTTTATCATAGAAGCTCACTTAATTTTGTTATTCAATTGTAGCATTTGATCTTTTTTTTTGAAACTGTTTCATGTAGGCAAAGAAAATGCTGAATTCCTGATCCTCCAATTTCTACCTCCCAAATGCTGGGATTACAGCTGTGCTCCACGATGCCTACCCACCTTTTTCACTCTTCAAAGAAAATTTCTTTATTACTTTTATTTTATGTGTATGCATGTATTACCTGCATGTATATAAGTGCACCCATGTCCTGCAATACCCTCAGAGGACAGAAGACATCATTGGATCCCCTGGAACTGGAGTTACAGTTGTTAGCTGCCATGTGGGTGCTGAGATTCGAACCTGGGTCTTCTGCAAGAACAGTCAGTGTTCTTAACCACTGAGCCATCTTTCCAGCCCCTCAAAAATTTTTTGAACGTGTAAAATATTAGCCTGATGCAAAAGTCAGAAATACAAAAAAAGGTATATATTTCCAGGAGCTGGAGAGATGGCTCAGCAGTTTAGAGCACTTGCTGCTCTTCCAGAGGACCAGAGTTCCAGAGGTTCTGTTGCTATCTTCTGGCCTCCACAGGCACTGCACACATGTGGTGCACTTACATACAGGCTGAGCACTCATACACATAATTTAAAAAAATAATAAATAAGGGGCTGAAGAGATAGCTCAGCAGTTAAGAGCCCTGGCTGCTCTTGCAGAAGACCCCAGTTCTATTCCCAGCACCCATATGGTGGCTAACCACTGTCAATAATTCCAGTTCCAGAGGATCCAATGCCCTCTTTTAACCTCCACATGAACTACACAACATGGGTGCACCTACCTACATGCAGGCAATATACTGATACACATAAAAGTAAAATAGAATATTTTTAATTAAAAGAAAAATAATAAAATATTAAAAAAGAGCCAGGCATGGTGGCACATGCCTTTAATCCGAGCACTTGGGAGGCAGAGGCATACGGAGCTGTGTGAGTTCAAGGCCAGCCTGGTCTACATAGTGAGTTCTAGGCCAACCAAAGCTACAGAGTGAGATCCTGTCTCAAAATAAATGAACAATCAAAAAAAAAATGCCCTGCCCATGTCAATCCCCCGTGAGTACATGAATACATTAATTTCTAGTTGTTTATCCTTCCTGCCATTTTTATTTCAATAATTTTTGTACCTGTGTGTGTATCCTTTCTCAGTCTGTTTTCTGCTCTTTGATGAGACAGGAAAGCTAACCTAGTACTCCCTACGTAGCCCAGGTTGGCCTCAAATTCATGGTAAACTCCCTGCTTCGGCCTCTCAAGCACTGAGATTACATGGTGTGCCACCATGCCCATCTTTTGTTTTGGAGTTTATTTGGGTGTTTTTGGTGGTACTGAGGGTTCTACCACTCTGCTATATCCCAAGTTTTTCTCATTTTTAAAATTAGTTTTTAGGTTAGTATACAAAGTAGTGGGTTTTCATCATAGCATCTTCGTTTTTATGTGTTGTTTGAGAAAGGGTCTCACATTAAAATTTTCAAATATTTATTTTTTATTTTATCTGTATGAGTGTATTCCCTGCCTGTGTATAAGTGCACCTGTGTCATGTAATGCCCATGGAGATCAAATGAGGATGTTGGATCCCCTGGAACTGGAGTTACAGTTGTTAGCTGCCATGTGGGTGCTGGGAACCAAACCCAGGTCCTTTGCAAGAGCAGCCAGTGCTCTTGACCACTGAGCCATCTCTCCAGCTCAGGTCTCACATTTTAACCCAGGCTGGCTTGGGACTCACTATGATCCCAGGCTTGCCTCAAGCTCACAGAGATCTTCCTGCCTCATCCTCTTGAGTGTGGGGTTATGGGTATGAGTAAGCCTCCACATTTTTTTTTCTGACAGGGTATGTGACCCAGGCTGGCCTGGAACTTGCTGTACAATCCAAACTAAACTTAAGTTCAAGATCTTCCTCCCTCAGCCTCCTAGCTATCCAATAATTATCTATTGCTAATTCTGGTACAACTTTGTGTACATATTATTTATTTTGTGGAGTAAAAACATATAGGATTGTCAATTCAGCGCTAGACATGGGAACTTGTCTATCTTAGTTCTGTTTCATTCAATAATGCTACAAACCACCTACTGCATACACTGCATTGTCCCAAGTGTTGGGGATAGGGAGCTGAACAAAAGAATATGTACTAGAGACGGGCATGGTGGCACTAACCTGTAATTCCAGTGCTCAGGGGGTGGAGGCAGGAGGATCAGGATGAGTTCAGAGTCATCCTTAGCTCATATCCAGTTTCAGGCCAGCCTGGGCTACATGATACCCTGTAGAAAGAGAAAGAAAGAAAGAAAGAAAGAAAGAAAGAAAGAAAGAAAGAAAGAAAGAAAGAAAGAAAGAAAGAAAAAAAAAGAAAGAGAGAGAGAGAAAGAGAGAGAGATGGGGAAGGGAGGGAATATACAAAACAAGAACATAATTTTGCAGTATTAGAAATATTATGCAGAAAACTGAAATGGGCAAATCTGAAGAGTGCTTGGGGTGCTGTGTTACAATGCTGATTACAAAGGCCTCTGGGAGGTGACAATGAACTAAAATCTTTTTGATCCTTTTTTTTTGAGACAGGATCTCCCTGTAGCCACAGCTGGCCTGGAACTTGCTAAGTAGACCAGGCTGGCCTTGAACTCAGAGATCTGCCTGTCTCTGCCTCCCCACTGCTAGGATTAAAGGCATGTGCCACCATGCCCAGCTGTGAACTGAAATCTGTGTGTGTGTGTGTGTGTGTATGTGTGTGTGAACTGAAATCTTAATGGTAAGCAATCCATAAGAAAATTCAGGGGAGTGGGATGTGATGGCCCATACCTTTAATCCCAGCACTCAGAATGCAGGGGCCAGCCTGGTCCACATCATTAGTTGCAGGCCAGACATGGGTACATACTGAGACCCTGTATCAAAACAAAAAGGTTCAGGAATAATCTTACTAGTAGAAGAGGTAAGCACAAAGGGCTGGGAGCAGGCCACTCTTGCTCAGGAGCAGAGAAAAGGCCCCAGCAACTGTACTTTACAGAATTGGAAGCAGGCAGATGGCACAGCTTGGGGTAGAGAGCAAACTGGGAGCCATGTCACATAAAGCTCTTATAAACCACAGTGAAGACTATGGATTTTATTCCAAGTGTAACTGGAAAATTTTTTAGGGATTGATTGGTTGATTGATTCTGATGCTGGGAATCAAACCTAGGGTCTTGCAGTGCCATGTAAGAGCTATACCAAATGAGTTATAGCCCAACCCTCATCTTTTCTAAATTTTAAGGTTTTAAGCAGGGATGTGATCTATATTAGAAATTAGAAACTTGCTGGACATTGTGGCACACACCTTCAATTCCACCTTTGGCAGAGAGGAGGCAGAGACAAGCAAATCTTCGTGAATTTCAGGCTAGTCTGTTCTACGTAGTAAGTTCCAAGCCAGCCAGGGCTATATAGTGAGACCCTGTCTCAAAACAGATAAACCAGAGGCTGGAGAGATGGCTCAGCAGTTAAGAGCCCTGGCTGTTCTTGTAGAAGACCTAGGTTCAAATCCCAGCACCCAAATGGTAATTAACAACCAGCTGTAACTCCAGTTCCAGGGAATCTGATGCCTTCTGTCCTCCACGGGTCCTGCATGACATGGGTGCATTTAACATAGATGGAGGCTGTCCTGGTTTGTTTCTTCATTGCTGTGACAAAACACTGACCACTACCAACTTGGGGAGGAAAGGGTCTATTCAGTTTACATCTCCCGGGTCACAGTTCATCAGGGAGCTCAAGGTAGGAACTCAGGACAGGAACCTGGAGGTAGGAGCTGGAGCACAGGCCATGGAGGAATGCTGCTTA